AAGTGCGGTGCGCTGTCGTGCAAATCTGGAGAAGTGGCAGGAGAAGCTCTTTTGATACAATGGTTAAAGACGCAAAGCACTTAGTCACCGGATCAGAGACTAACCCTCTGGTTTAAAGGATGCTGACAATAAGCTCTTACTACCTCCACCTGAGACCGTCAATTTCCTTTCGTGTCGAACATAGCTGATGTTGAAACTGATCACTCATTTGATTAGTTTCTGCTAGGGTCTTGTCGACTTCAGAGCATTCCGCCTTCGTCACATTATACTCCTTTTCAAGCTCAGAGTTCCTAAGTATCCGGAAAAACATCGAGCGGGTAATTTACGTAGAAAACGGTTCAAAAATAAAAATCAATTACAACAGTTGCCTGTAGCGGTTACCTATAATTGAAAAATAATACAGTAATCTACAGTACCGTAATCTTTACTCAGGTCGAGCTGCGAAAGTGAAGACGAAGTACAAATGATGACAGTTACTTGAAAATAAGCCAACGAAACTTGAAACTTTTGGGTCTTAATATTTTCTCGATTTAAATATATGTATTACGGCAAATTAATCGCTGTAGTCCGAACGATTTTCAGCAGCAACTTAAAGATACTATCAACCCTAATGAGTTCTTTCGTAACTTATGAGAATAAACGTTTGACCATAGAAATAGCAGAAAATAAGCTTGCTGAGACATTGAAAATGGAGTATTACTAAAGATTTATGGAAATCTCTTGGAACATATGGTATATACAAAAAGTTGGCATTTTGCACCTTTTCTTCGATAGTGAATTATCACAAGGTAACAGTAATTAAACAGCATTCAAGATTCAAAACTTTTGTTGCTTGTTTAGCGGGATTATACTTGTGCTGGTAAACAAGGTGGATGGTCACCTGTCAGGTGCATAAAGTCTCAATGCCAACCTTAAGCGACGCTCCCAACAGACAACACGGCAGCACCTCTCACTCACTCATTTTGGTAAGACCACGCCAGAACACCGGGTTGTCCTGTCGTGTTTAACTCAACGACCTGTTACACGTTTTGTACGACCAGCTGGTCGTACCAAATTGCGTGCGTTGAATTCCTCACAGAATTTAATTAGCGGTTGAGAGAAAGCTTACTCTTCTTGATGATATTCAGGAGTTCACGTGTTCGAAACCGATCTTTTTGATTTCTCAGATTTAACTCGTTAACTTATTTCACAGTCTGTTTCTTTATTTTGTAGAAACTTAAATATGTCTTTTATAAGCGATGGATAACTACGACGCGTTCAGATGACCCGTGATGCTTAACTGCTTGAATCACTGGACTCAGTGGCATCCTGCATGCTTATTTTACTTATAGCCATACTCGCAACGTTCTATGAGTGTCGAGGACCGAAGAATATAAGTGCTATTTTAGCACGATCTGGAGTACGAACTGATTTGTTCAGCTAGGCATGTGCCATGAAAAAAAGTGTAACGTCAGAAACTACAGTACTATTATGAGATACGACTGGAGCACTCAACGTAAGGGCGCCAGGGTAAGTGGTCAGATCCTGAATCAAATCCTGAAAACTCCTTGAACTACCAGTTCCTTAGAGTAAGGCATTCATCGAACTTTGCGAAGAGGTACTAAAACATGGGTTCCGATGTGATGACCTTACCACAGTAGACTAGAGGTACTCTCTTACTGTCTGATGCGGGCGCCTCTTAGGGTTGTGATTCAGTTCGATTCACCTGAAAGCCTAGGATCCAGGATCCAATTAGCACAATTGTATTCCAAATAATTTTCTAACTGTTTTTTTTCACTCAATTTATCCTCCTATATGAGATCGAACAGTTCATACTTATGACTTCAGATGGGCTTGCAAACAAACGTAGTTACGATGATATGAGGCTTAACTTAGGATCTAAAATTTTAAGAACAATAAAGCACTATGTTCAATACTTACTTCTGCCTAAGGGACTCGATGAGTTGAATGCTGTCGTTAGGCTTCGTTTTCAACTCCTTGCGAGTCGTAGACTCATTTTCACGTTCTTCTCTCAACCACTGATCCGCCTCCTTCTGACTTTTCGTACTGTCGTTTAGCGGATGTTCAGCTGTTGCGTCCCTAAAGATCGTTATGAACAATTTTCACGAGTCCGTACATTTTGAAGGGCCATCTGGAACTCAAATGATAGTTGGGTGGCGTTCATCGAACTCTGTCTAACGTTTAAAATTGTACATGAAATTGTCCAGCAGTTTTTAATGGATGAAAGGAGAAAATTTGTTTTGCTGCTTTTGAGAGTGATCATTAATAACCTAACCCTTGCCGATATGAACAGTGAGCCGCAAGAAAAAAAATCAAACTACCACAGTGGCCAGAAATTCCGTTCCGTATTCAATTCATTCACTGATTCATTACTTGATATGCATTATGATATCCATTTATGGACCTGGCACAAACGCGTGCGGATGTTGAATGCACCAATTCTTTAAACATTGCAAACTTTAAACAAAGAGTATAACATTTTAAGGAGAACGTTGATTTGGCATCGGATGAGAGCTTGTTGCGTATGACGGTTGGAAAATGTTGGGGAAGTAAAGTTGTTCTGCTTTTGAAGTTGATGTGGTCTTCATCTTGGAATAGCGACTGGTCTTTGGGTTGCTGACTAAGAGGTCATTCTATCGAACATTCGCCATGGCGGGCTCGTACGGCTTAAATTTATGACTAGTGACCTCTTGATTTAGACTTGCAAAGAAGTTGTAACTCTTCTTGTGCCTAAGAAATAGCATAGTCATTTCATCGCTGATTAATATTTTTAGCCATAAACACCTGATGACGAGTCTTCATTGAGGTTGCTGCAAGTTGTTGGCGCTCTATTTTTATGCATTAGGCATGACTCCTAACGTTTCTTTCGTGTTGGTGCTACATACTTGAAAATTTACAGTTTGAATGGAACTCCATTTACAACATGCACAAGAGAATGAAATTCTGGATTGGCTGCGGAAATATAGAACAAAAACCTATTCGTCCGATTATCACGTGACAAGATTGAAAGTGTTCTGCAATCTATTACTTATCATACAAAGGTACTTTGGACGAAGATGTTTTCGAAAGCCCTGGTGTGCTGCTTAGCGGCAGTGATCAGAGTTTAGAATCCATATCTGCTCAATGTAGAAGAAATACGTTTCATTTCAGAAACCCATCACTACCTTCGATAACTGCAACATATTGCGTCTCCTAGATAAAGTACGGTAGCTTCAAGCTGATTGGTCGAGCTTTCCTCTCGTGCGTTTGTGGTAATACTGATAACAGCATAAAACGCGGCGTATTTTTACACTTCAAAGGCCTTCTGTTTTAAAGGCATGGACAGCTGCGAACGACAAATGAACTTCCATAATAAATCTAATTCGCTGCCTTCCCGAAGACCCGTGCGATGCAGCCTGAATCACCGGCATCGATCAATCATCCGATGTACCTTGCTGTTTGCGTTATGTATAAATAAACTGTTTCAGGCTGTTTTCAAGCAGATGAGTGATTCCTGGTTCACAGAGCAAAAAATAACAAAAAGGCTTCTGTTTGCAAGTAGTCCAACGTTCCGACTGAACCTGCATTGGTAATCATCGAGGAATGAACAAAATATGTACAGCTGTTTGAGTCAATCTGTGTTCGAACCGACTAGAGGGACGCTTTTCTGACCGTTCATCAAGGAATTAATGAGGTTCCACCTCGCAAAGGTATCAATGAAGCTAAAACAACCGTTACAAGTTCTGTTTCTGCTGTCTGCGATGTGCAGCGACCCCTTGATTAACACCCTCCAGGATCAACCAACCATTGCCATGTCGCTTTGGTCAAAGTCATGACCGTTCTTCGAGTTAGAGGATCAAGACAAAAGTGATCAGCGCTATGCTACTCAATATCTGTCCTGCCCGTTAATCTGGCTTCTAACGTTGGGCAGGTTTAGCTGATTTAAACGTGACCTCAGTTATTGTGTGCGGCTTGATTGCAACGTTTCTCGTCCCCATTCTAACCTGAAGTTCGAGCTTCTTGTACAATACGTTCACGAAGGTCCTCTCCCTACAAAAAATGCACTTAAACTGTCCTTTTTGAACATGACATCTAATTTTCTCGGATGTGCTTGGAAGGCATGGCGTAGAGATGAAAGAATTAGATCGAAACAGGGTACGGGACTAAATTTTGGGCTTGTAAACACAGAATAAAATAAATGTTTAGCATGTACGTTTTAAAAGGAAATGTTGATGAAAGAAACTTGCTTTCAACTCTGAACAGTCGTTCATTTGTGCAATAACTCAGAGCCTCATTTGAGCCTGCAGGTAATGGTACTAACGAGGATTTAAACAGTTTGAGGAGGACGAGATGCGCTGTTCAGACAAGGGTTAGAGTTGTGTGGACATGAAGGAAAATACACCACTGACATTCAGTCTAATAAGAATGTCGAGAAACGCATCTTATCATCGTGTTAAGGCTCTGAAATTAAGTTTTTGGTGGTTATTAGGACCTTGTTTGATTATTATGTGATAGGTGAAAATGATTAAAATTACTATGCACACATATCCATCTTGATCTAGGGACCTTATTCCTCTCATCCTGCCGTCGACCTGTAGGATTCCTTCGGTTCGTTTCCTTTCTTTCACTCGGAACGCACTCTAATGAGTCTCTGATTCAGCGACGAATAGTGTTTCTTGCAACAGGTCCTACCCATTGTCACTTCAACTGATGAAATTTTAACATTATCAAAATTAAAATAATCATCACTGATTGTGACATTAATTAAATGGACAAAATCTTCAAGGCTCAGACCATTTGGGAGTATATATAAGCTTAGTATTCTTCCACTTCGTCCTGCTCTTGACAAATAGGCGTAAAACTGTATCCGTAAACGTCCTGTGCCGATCCTGTAATCACAGGTTATACATGACGGTATTAGCTTTAAACTGTTTAGCAATAATTTGACACGTTTCGAAAGTATAATTTACCTTGTGATTGCTAATAAGCTTCTTCTATCTGCAATTTTTTCCAATTAATTGTTACATAAATGTACCTAAAATCTTCGCATCATTACACTCCTACGGCAGAAACGAAGTTACTCAAAGTTTCTTTATATTGCAATGAAACTAAGAATCCCTCCCTTTTAAATTCTGAGTTAACTGTTCCTTTTGTGCTCTATTTTTGTTTTCCAGCGAGTGTATTGTGCGTGTGATATATATTCCTGATGTAATTAATATGATATGCTTGCAAATAATCAGGTATACACCACATTTTTGTAATTTTTTCTTTGGTTCCAAATTTTACTGTTGTGTGATTTTTGGTCCTTGACGACGAGCGAAGCATGGATTGAAATGCCTGGAATCCATCTGCAGGGTAATGCAGTAAGAAAAAGATGAATATCACTGGGCATATGGGTTTAAAGTATGGATTCTATGTAGCCTGGGAAACTGCTTTCAGTTTTGGATTAGCTATTCTGTGTATCCTGAACTTCTTGATTCGTAATTGGGGCTCATGTCTTCTACTGCTCATCGACGCACCTTCTCCCTAACAAAGAGCAACACGTACAGGGCTAAGCAAAATAACCAATCCACTACTCTGCATATTTTTCGACACCAATCAGCTAGAACCACGAATCCAAGAATTTAAGCTTTGTACATTTACCAGTTTTTGTCTGGAGGATCAATCAATAATGAATTTGATAATGCTCAATTATGCAAATTTTCCGTAATTATGATCACCATGACGTCAGCTAGGACACTCAAGCTCACTGGACGATTGGAACTCAAGTAACTGTGATATAATTTCTTCATGGCGAAATTGTTCGATGGTTTACTAAACATATTTAGTATATTGCTGAAGCTCCTTCGCGATGGATGTCAGTCTTTCAGCAAAACAATACCCTCGAAGTAATGGCTAAATATTTTAAAGCAAGAAGAAACTAAGAGAAAGGCGGCGAATTCGCTCTGATCACTGGTCCATAAAATTAAACGACCCCAGATTTTCAACGAGAACAAGTTGGAACTTTTCTCGGTTGCGAAGACAGCGTGCCGTGTTTGAGACCACGGAATTCCCATAAGCACAAGTTTGTGCACCGACCCTGTCGTAAACTAATGTTTCTGACCGGATGTTTGACTGGCATCGCGAGAGACGGTCCTACGGGAGACGGTCTGGATGCTCACACCGAGCCTTAGATCCATGTTACAAACACAATCTGCAGCATTTTGAATCGCTGAGTGAACTTTTATATCTCTGAATTTGGCCAGTGAGCACGTGACATGGACACAGGGGGCAAAATCTTTCGCAACTCGGCCTCTAACGAAAATTTGACAGC